CAAGTGATCGCAGCAACACTTTTGAAAAACGGAGAGTTGAAGGCTGTCAAAGTAATGACCTCAGTTAAGGTTTGGGGGGGGGGAAGGGAGGGGAGAGGTTTCGGGCATATACCGTGTTAATGTGCCTGCCCATTTTGTAAAATCCGTGAACTCCTGTACAGAATGATACCAGCTCATTCCACTAGGAAGGAGTTTACAAAATGCTTTGTCTTATCCCTTGATGGACATGTTTTAAGGCAGTGGGCACATGCTGGAGGCGGGAGGTTGTTGGCAGCGTCATTGGTGGAACGGCTGAGGGAGGGCGTCCGGTCACTACCCCCATCTCTTCCACCAGTAACGATGGCGACAACCGCCCGCCCACAGCGATGGTGCCCATTATCTTCAACGAACACTGTCGAAGAACCTTAGAAAAGAGTGGCTGTTAGGATATACTTGGAGTTTATTTCAATTTGAAACAGGCTCTAAATTTTCTGCTTATTCTGTGTAAAAGAGCTGTTGTGTAGCAAAGGGCTTCTAGAAGCTCACGATTGACTAAATTCCCTCCAATTAGAGTTTATTGTACTTGAATTTTGGCTTAATTGTACTAAATTTCAGCAGTCCCATCAAACTCAATTCGGAATTCCACCTGGATGTCGTCAATCGGAATAGTGTCTACAAAGAGCGTTTTCCAAAGGTTAGTTTACAAGCTTACACTGTAATTTTCGAAGTATACAAAAAGCATCTCACAATATGCTTTAACTCAGTCCCAGCTTAGAGAAAAGACGTCTTTCTGGGATGGAGTACTCGTCCTCATGTACAAATTGTTCAGGCTAAGGTCCAGATGGAAGAAAAATTGGCGGCATTTGTTGCCGAACACGCACCACTGAGCGGTGGCTCGTCAACGGGAGACAATGACACGGGTCAAGATGGCGTGAATAATCGCCGTTCAATGGTGAGTCATTAAGAGTCATTCAGTCAGATAGGGAGGAATGAATCGAGTAAGCTTTTAGCAAGAGCTGCCCATAGACCTTGGTTTTCTAGAGTAGGCTTCAACAAGCATTGAGCTTCATGTAGCCATAAATTTGTCATACTGGG